CCCCCAAAACCCCAAAACCCCAAGTCGATAAATCTTTAGTATAATTGATGTTAAGATAATTGATAAAAATTTGCTTCACATCCAGAGACAATATTGGGGATCTAAAATACAAGCTCCTTTACCTGGCTGAGTAGCGAAAAGATATCTTTCCAAATCATCAGTTATCCATAGTTGATAGCCTGGTTCCCTTTCTTTGGTATAATAAGTAAATACTTTATCAAGAAATTATTCTAGATTATCTTTAGGAATGAGTGAAACACTGCATCCTCCCCATCCAGCACCTGTAAGTCTACTTCCTAAAGCACCCGAATCTCTAGATAATTAAGTAATTTCATCTAACTCAGGGGAGGAACAATCATACAAATCTCTACAGCTTTTGTGGCTATCATTCATCAACTAACCTAATTTTTAAACCTTTACAGCCTCATCCAAAGTTTCATCATCACAAAGTTCCTTAAATTCATAAACTCTCGATGCCTCACCAAAGACGTGATATGCTCTTTCAAATAGATGAAATTAGTAATTTTAAGAGATCACTTCGTTTGCGTAGGGTATATCTTTCAAAAGATCGGTTAAATCATCAATACCTAATTCTTTTTTAACCTTATCAGGAGTATAACCTCCCTTCTATAAGTGACTAGAAACTAATTCTAGCATTTATTAATAGGAGTAGCCTAAATGCTTTTAGAATTCATAGAAGTTTTTGAATTTTTGTTCTTTAGCATGGCTAATATCACCAGTTCTTAAGGCTAAAATAAGAAGGGCAAATCTACATTCAACCACTCTCTTGTTATATCTAGTACCTAGAGTGAGTAATTTAGGACTAGGGGTTAAAGAATTTCCAATTGCTAAAACTACACTTGCTGGGATTTTAACATCAATAGCTTTAAGTGTTGGATTAAATTCTATTAACTTAGCTTGATTTTTCTCAGCGAAAATAGATATTGTTTGGTCCATTCCTCCACAAGCAGTACCAGCCATTCTCTCAGCTAAAACACATAATTTACTTAGATCACCTTTAGGAATTTTAGTTTCAAGACCATTTGCATGAAGTGCAACAATTGAAGCACAGACAGTAAAGGCACTGCTAGATGAGACACCAGCAGCAGGTGGAACAAGTGAATCAATCATTATTTTTAATCCTCTTGGTTTTGTAACTTGGCTGTAGTATTTCTCATCAATAGCCAGTACCGCTTTATATCCACACAAGAAATAGTTTATCCAGTGAGGACCCTCTTTGAATTTTTAAAATGGATCAGTAGATATTTTCTCAGCTGGGTATTGATCTTTATCTATGTTATTTAATTCAATCTCATCTGCTTCATTAAGGACATAAGCCATTACAAAATCTTATTCTATAGCAGCTGGAAGTACAGAATATCCACAATAGTCAATGTGCTCTCCAATGATATTTACTCTACCTGGAGCTCTGCAGAAGTATTTAGGAACAACTCCATAGATCTGCTTAAATCTATCTTTGAGATTTTTAAACCTTCCCTCATGCTTTTGTTTTACCTCTCCATTGTTATCATGGTAAATTTCAGGAAGATGATTTAAAATAGGGACAAATTCAAGATTTGTATCTTATTGCTCGCTTTCCATTTAGATTTAATATTTATAAGCACTATTAGATTATTTAAATATTTATCTGCAATATTTGTAGAGGGGTTTTGGGGTTTTGGGGTTTTGGGG